TATATTTTTTTTATAGGGAGGGGGTGGAGGTCCAGCTTGTCATTAATCTGGACCTCCCCCCCCTATTTTTTTTGCTGCTAAAACGGTTGGAGCAACAAAATTCGCTCTGGAGCAACAAATTTTTGACTAAATTTTTTACTGTGTCCCAACTTTGCGCTGATGGGAAGTCTAGATTAATAGGGGTCCTGCATTACCGGATATACTCCACGACGAGGTTACTGAATGAATTTTGTACATCGTGTTTTTGCGTGTGTGTAGATTTTGCACATCATGTTTCTGCGTATAAATTTCAGTAACGCATGTTGCCTCCGCTCGATTAGTACTTGCAGTCGATTCCTCATATTAATGCAGGCTCTAATTTCTTCCTGCGGAATGTTATTCCAGATTTGTACTATAATAGATAATAGGTCATAGATTAAGAGATTTTGCAAAACAACCTGTAAATCTCAAAGACTTATCACAAGCTCTAATACAAATCTAGAATGACATTCCGCAGGAAGAAAGTAGGGCCTGCATTAATATGAGGAATCGACTACAAGCAGCAATCTGGCAACGCGGAGGCAACACGCGTTTCTGAAATTTACATGCAGAAACGATGTGCAAAATCCATCCTCGTCGTAGAACATATCCAGTAATGCAGATAATGTCGGTGATATATGTAAAAAATGCAAGAGTAACTTTAAAGTGCTGTAACTTTGCAAAAAAAATCATAGCTTTTTTTTTTAAATTAAAAAAGAAAATTTGAACTTTACGCCACTGCAAATAACATTCCCTCAAAAAATTTTACTAAGCGTATTTTAACCTTGTATTCCGTGAAATTTTTTAATTTCCAAACAATATGACAAACACATCTTCATATTTTCAGAGTTACAGTGGAATGCATCAAACTTAAAATCTGGATACAGCGTTTTAAAGTAGAGATTTTAAGCTTTAACTTAAAAAAAAAACATCCTACAATAATTTTTCGCAAAATTATTCTTAGTCAAAGTTGGCCAATTTTTTATCCACAATTTCTGTATATCATAATTTTTTTTAGCAGTATAATATATGTATATAATTCACATTGAATTATTTAAGCATTAAAGAGCCAGCTCTTCGACCGTTATGGGCTTTAATATATTAATATGTACGAGGTCTGGCTATTAAATAACGAGACTGCGCGCGCAGAAGGCGTCCTAGAGGGGTAGGGTGGGAAACGAATGCAGCGTTGGATAGCTGGAAGTGTCTACTATTCCAGTACGAAAACACGTTTTTGTCGCAGTAGTAGTATTTTTTCTATAGAGGTTAGAAACGAACTTGTTTTTTTCTCGTGCCGATAACAATGTGTGACGAAAAACACGAGCAACGGATCAATGTGAAATTTCTCGTTAAATTAAAAAAAACTCCGACTGAGTGCTATAAGTTGTTGAAAGAGGCCTATGGTGAGAATTCTCTATCTCGTGCGCGTGTTTTCGAATGGTATAAACGGTTTTCTGAAGGCCGAGAGAGCACCGAAGATGACCAACGTCCAGGTCGACCTGTCTCTGTTTCAACTCCGCAAACAGTGACCAAAATCAATGAAATTGTGCGCGGAGATCGTCGTATGAGCATTCGGATAATTGCTGAGACTGTAAACGCCGATAAAGAAACTGATACAGAAAAATTTTACATGACGAATTAAACATGAAGAAAGTCTTCAGCGAAGACTTGCGAAGTTGGTCCCAAAAAATTTGACCCCTGACCAAAAGCTCGTCCGTCAACAGATCTGCTCAGATTTTCTTGAGAGGTTAGATGAAGAGCCTGAATTGATGGAAAACATCATCACTTGCGATGAAACCTGGATATTCCAATACGATGTTGAAACTAAGCGGCAATCCATGCATGTGAGTCGATGGAAAAGGTGAAGCGAAAATCGGCGGAGCTCCTAAATGCTCTTACAAAAGAAGACTTCCAGCATTGCTTTGACCAATGGAAAAAACGAATGGAACGGTGTGTGGCGAGGGGAGGGGAGTACATTGAAGGGGAGCATTCAATTGTAGAATAATTTTTAAAATAAAACTCTTTTTCATAAGCAGTCTCGTTATTTAATAGTCAGACCTCGTATATTACTCTCGGTCCACGGGGCAGAACAACACTTTTTTTGCCAAATTCGTTCATTTCGTACAAGAATCCGTCGAATGAGCCTAATTTCAAAATTGGTGAGGACGGTAAAATTTTTAAGTATTACCTAAACGTAGTAAGAATAGACCGAGTATGTTTTCTATTTTGACATGAAGATTAGGTAGAAAAGAACAGAAAATAGATGTGAAACATTCTCTCTCTCTCTCTCTCTGTTTGTGCATGCACAATGAGATACAGTCACGTGACATAGTGCCTTAGCAAAAAAGCTGACTTATAATCTTAAAACAATGTCTTATAACTGTCTTAAGTGTTACGTCTTTAGTAACACACAAGAACTGTCTTAGGACTTATTTCTTAAAGGTGGTATTACATCCTGCCAACCGATATTGAATCTGACGTCTAATTTTATCAAAAATAAAAATTAATACTGCGTTTGTACTTCGTTTTACCTCTTTTATTTTTATTTGTACCTCCAAGGATTCGGAGATCGTTTTTTCAAATTTCGGAAATGCAAGAGGGAAAGTTGATCATTTTAGAAGATATCAAAATGAGACCAACGGCATTCGAAAGAGAATCGTTTGTACCCGTTTGTGCCTCTTTTATTTTTGTTTTTACTTCACAGGACTCGAAGATAGGCCGACCTAATCTCTCTCTTGGTGCATTTCCGAAATTTTTAAAAACATTGTATCTCCGAGCCCTTTGAGGTACAAACGAAAATAAAAGAGGTACAAACAATTCTGTTTCAAATGCCGTATGTCGCATTACGATATCTTTTAAAATAGCTAATTTCCCAATGTGATAATTGCGCAAAAATTGAAAAGGGCTGTATCTCCGAGCCCTTTGAGGTACAAACAAAAATAATAGAGGTACAAACGGGTACGGTTCTCTTCCGAATGGCATAAATGAAATTAGAAAATCTTGAAGTTGCGCTTTGGTTATTTTTTATTTTTCATTTTTTATTTAACTATTTGAGGTACAAACGAAATAATGATCGATACAAATAGATACAAACAAAGAACAAACGCGCTGCGGTATTATTAATTTTTATTTTTAATAAAGTTGAGAGCCAGATTCACATCGGTGTCTTGCCATCTATATAAATAGAATTTTCTTTTTTTTTTCTCTTGCTATATTTTCTTTAATTACTTGATTCACAGCGTCTATATAAAAAATAATTTAGTAATTTATAAAAAATACTTTAGTTCAAGCATTTACGTGAATATTCCATGTGAAAACTTATTCAAATAAGTATTGTTTTCTATTACGCCGGCGTGACGCGTGCGTTGACTAGCGCAAGTCAATCAAATCACTCGGGAGGCGCGTGCCACGTGCCGATGTCGAACAATGAAATTCCCGGAAGGGATAATTCTGCCCGGAGATGAGGAAATTGTTCCCATTGAGCCGAGATCTTTATCACATTGTTATTCTATATAAAAATTAGCGAGAATTTGCTTGATTGAGATATTTTAATCCTTGTAATCACTAAATAAGTATCAGTTATCGCGCACCAATCACAACCTGCGACGCGCGTGTCGCTCATCACTCGAATTCCCGTATTTACGAGATTTCAGTTGTACAGGCTAAGAACATTTATTATTTTGTAGTTTTGTGTCATATTTTTTACGTTTCTATTCAATTCATTGTTTTTCTTTTATAATTACTTTATACAAACCTGAGATAAGTATAAGCAAATTAGTCGTGTTCCGCGCGAAGTGCCTGACATGCACCGACCAATTAAGATCCTGAGAAAGAGCGGATCGGACCAGAACAAGATCTGAGAAATAAACTAGTTAATAACTTTGGAATTATAAAATAACAAGAAATCGATTCAATTTTTCGAATTTGTAATAAAATTAGTTGCTTTCGTGCCAAATTTCAGCTTGGTACAACTGATATTTCTATGGAAAATTCTATGCCCAAATTTGGCAACGTATTGCCAATTCTTGGAAAATTGAACCTCCCCCCCCCCTTTTCCTCCTGATTTGCGACCACCAACTTGCGCCTATATATAAGAGCGGCAAAAATCGAGCAGATCAATCATACTGATTCAATCCGAATCTATGTCCAGAGGGACACGTCAGAAACAAGAAAGAACTTATAATATTGCAAAAAATACAAGAATTTTGAAAAAGTATGCACGTCTGTTCTCTTTCATTCTGCTTTTTCTCCTATCTTAAAGGGGATGACCGCGTTTGTAGAAACTGCTCAGTTCTCCACAGCTGACTGCGCTCGTAGGAGCTGCTCAGTTCTTTTCTTCTCAAGGGCTGACCGTGCTTGTTAAAAGCGTGCTCAATTCTTCCTTTCATACGTTATCCTCCAGTCAACTTACATTGATTTCTACTCTCTAAGTCTCGCGGAATGAAATCTCATTCGAAGAGACTGAAAATTTAGCCTGTCTTGAAAAAAGAGTGACAATATGGCCACTCTTGTTCAACAGTGACAGATTTTCACTCTTTTTAAAGTGAGATTACTTTTTTGGAGTGAATCTCATTTCAAAAGAGTAAATCTCACTCTAAAAAGAGTGAAAAACTACCTCTCCTGAACAAGAGTGACCATATTTTCACTCTTTTTTCAAGACAGGCTAAATTTTCAATTACTCCGAAGGAGTGAAATCTCAATCCTCTTTTTGGAGTCAGGTTTCATCTACCCTGATATTACACTCCAAAAAAGGGGTTGAAATTTCACTGTTTTAGAGTGAATCTCATTTTAAAATCTTATCAGTAAATTTTATTCTAAAAAGAATAAAAAAATTACCACTCCTGAACAAGAGTGACCGTATTTTTACTCTTTTTTTTAAGACAGCTAAATTTTTAATCTCTTCGAATAAGCTTTCATTCTACGAGAGTAATTAAAATAATTGCAAACGATCGTGTCGATAAATAAATTTTGCTTTTCCATAGAATGACAAAGAGAAGTAACCGCGCAGGTAGGCGGATGCAGGTAGCGAGACTATACAAAAGATCGATAGCTTCTGGGGAGCTTTTGACTCCCCGGGATCCTTCCGGAATCACGCCATGGCCATAGCAACTCACAGCTCCCTCCGTTGGAGCATCTCTCGCCCGCTCACGACTTTAAGGTCACTACTGAAGAACCTCCTGCGCTCCGCAAAGAATTAAACGCTGAATAATGCATCGCGAAGGTAGACTCTTCTGGTCCTTGCCGCCGAACTACGCGCCCTATCCCTACAGCCGTTTCTCGTCAAGCCCTGAAGGCCCTCAAAATCTCGCGATGACCCCCTGAGGTCGTGTCTAATATCTCCGTCAATAATTGGACGGTAACCCGCGTACCAGCAGAATACGCAGTGAATAAAAATGTAGAAACATTCAGCGTTCTATTTATTTTTTTCTCTCGATCCACTCCTCTGTCCTTTCTCTACTGAAATATACAAAATGATGAAAAAAAAGAGTTTGAATCGTTCGGATCAATTATAAATTTCCTTGCCCAAAGAACGTAATTTGCTTGAGTCAATTATTGTTTCCTATCTCAGAAGTACGAACGCTAAAAGTCGAATCGAGCATTACATTCTGATAAAATAGATAACTAATTGTGTTAAGATATCATCTTAATTCTCAAAGATATCAAATCTCAATATTAAAGAATTCAAATGATTAATATTAATTCTCAGTAATTTTATTCAATTAAATAATCTTTAAGAATCCTGTAGCACATTCTGGAGCGATTCGCCATTATGCATTGTTGCCACATTTTTATTATTGTAATAGTGTACTGAGTAATAAATATTTCGTAATTTTGAATCCAAAATTGACTCAACAACATTTTAATTTCTATTATAGTGACTTTCTTAGTAGTTTGAGTGTCCGACGAGATACGACAGACAATGATTATAGTCTTGATGAAAATTACAGCTCATCGATGTATTTTAAACTTTTTTTGACAATACATATCAAATAAATTCAATGTGTCTGGAGGATTATATTTTTTGCACTTTGAAGAGGACACAATATCAATGTCGAAACGTCTGTAATTATATATATTTTGTGAAAACATGAATCATTATTATCACATTAAACATCTTGTGCAGACTCACATTGGCAAATTTCCTTAAGTTTTTATTGTTAAATTTGAAGCCTTTTTATTGTACATTATTATTATCACATTACTATTTATCGATTTTTTCCTTCTTATATCATCGCGAGAGAGTCAAACCTTAATATTTATGTAAATACAATACATATACAATTCTACAATCTATATACGCCAATTAAATTTTCAATCTTTGTAATGCTATCCGGCTGATATTTTTCACAATAAATTTTTCATAGTACTTTAAGATGCTAATGAACGTAAATATATCATTAAATTACTTGTTAATTCAATTTTTTATATTAAGAAAAGAAATAAGAAGTGAATCATGCGCCATGACAAAAGCGTCGCAGCAAGCACGCGATATCAGGAAGGATTCTGATTGACCACGTCTCAATCAATCAATCTTATTTTCATTCTCTAGTATTTATATACCTTTAAGGCATAAGTCATAAGACAGTTCTTGTGCGTTACTAAAGACATGAGATTTAAGTCATGAGACACTATCAGAGTTCATTCTATCTTGCTGGGATCAAAAAAATTAAAAAGCCCCAAGTGTGTAGAACATTGTGTTGAAGTCTTAACATGGCAAATATAGGCGTAAATAATAAAAAAAAAGTAAACTTGAAATTTTAAACACGTTTTCCTTGAAAAAACATTTTTTGATCTAACGGAAGTGATAGAGCAAAAACTATTGAACGTACCGCTTTCAAATTTTGCACGATTGTAAAGCAATATTTTTTCTACTGGATAAACTACAATTATATAAATTAATGTACTTTTTCTATCACAAAAATAAGAATACAATTTAAGGTAAAAAAATCGAACTTTTTTTTCAAATAAGCGCCATTTTATTAATTTTTACTTAAAGTCAATTATCACAGTCTATCCAGACATTCTTTCTGAATAGAAAAATCGTTTTTAAAACAAAATTTTTTTAACTCTTTCAGATGACTGATGCGACCTGTAGTACTTCCGTTATGTTCAAGTCGGAGAGGCTTCTTTCCTAAAACTTTATGTAGACTAACAGTCAACACATCGATTTCATAAAATTTAAAGTTAAAGAAAAAAGTATAATAACATATGAAAACAATGAAATATGTATTTCATTACTTTCCCCAAAAAAATTGTCAAAAATCGGAGATCGAAGCACTTTCTCAACCAGTCCCGACTGCGACTTCCACGGTTTTATCTGTCTTACTCTTAGAGCATATATAATACTAATGGTAAGTGAGCGAACTATGCTGAATAGTAATGCAAGCAAGACAGAGAGGGGAACATTTGGTTGTGATGATTTTCTCTGTCACTGTCAGGAGCGTTCGTAACGAATAGAGGTTAGATTTTGATATTAAAAAACAAACTAGACAACAAATTAGAGTAAATATTTGTTTTATACTTTTCGTTAATTTACCTGTGAAATGATATGTCCCGATATAATTTATTATCATCTGTCGCTTTACACGTGGAAATCAAACAAAAGGCTGGCATTTTGTAAGATTTTATGATGTCGGACAGAGATCAGCAGAAATCATATTTCGCTACTGTCACTGAACAGGAATGAGGCCTAACGAGACAATAACAAATTGAAGAAAAGAGAGAGATCATTATCAAATATCTCCTTTGTCTTACTTGTCGGCTCGCCAGTTCACTATGTAAAACATAGACAATGTTCGTTCCATTAGTACATGCTCTAAGGTCTTATCCTACGTCGTGACTATATCTCATTATGTCTCGTTACGTCTCGTTACATCTTGTTACATCGCGATCTCTGCTAATGTACAAAAACTTATGACTTATGTCTTAAAGGTGTATAAATACGAAGTGCCTTTAAGACATAAGTCATAAAATAGTTCTTGTGTGTTACTAAAGACATAAGACACTGTCCTAAGATTATAAGTCAATTTTTCTGCTAAGAATTTCCTTACTAAAGATATAACACTTAAGTCATAAAACACTGTCTTAAGATTATAAGTCAGCTTTCTGTTAAGACACTCAGCAGAAAGGCTAACTTATAATCTTAACTGTATTCTATAATAAATCATTAGTAATAAAACAGAAGTCAGAAGCTAGAAATTGATCAATCACAGTCAATTATTCTTCTTATATTTGACTGTGATTGATCAATTTTTAGCTTCTGACTTATGATTTATTAATAGTTTATTGTAGAATGGCCATAAGACAATGTTTTATGACTTAAGTCTTATGTCTTTAGTAAGGATCTTAGTCTGAATCTACAACAGATCTTACAGGTCTACTACAGATTTTACATCCGTATTCATAGTCCTTCCTTATTTTAAGGATAGAGGAAGCCTCCATGAAGGATTCCTCGATTCTCCAAGGCATCCTTGTTTCATAAATGGATCTCAAGTCTATCTTCCCAAAGGAAGGAATATTTTAGGAATTTTAATAACCTACTAAAGGCAGCATGTCATAATATATAATATATGCAAATCTAATATCATGAATTACGAGTAATAAAGGTTATAAACGCATTGTTAATTAAATAAAGTCGTGATTCAGCATTTTGCAACAATAGTGAGCAAAAATAAAACTAACAGCGAATTTGATTGGACGCACTCACTGCGCACTGATGCATATTAAAATTGTCGTACATACACAAAATAACGTAAATGTATGTTTATAAACATGGAAATTGTGAAATACTCAATATATTTTATTGTACTGTTAGGTAAAATATGTATTTCATAATTCGAAATATTTGCATTTTATTTTTGTACTCGAATTAATCAGTGTACATCGGCTTTAATGTGCATTAGTGCTTCCAATCGAATTCGTCATAATGCTTATTATATGAAGAAGGAGAAAATATTTTTGAATTAGTTTATTTTCGAAAAAAAAAAAAAACTATCAAAAATAATTATCGATGCGACGGATCTAAATTAAAAGTTATCGAAAATAAAAAGACCGGTGTGACAAACTAAATTTGATGGTTTGATTGGTTATGAAGGCTGCACCTCCTCCTCAAGGAAACTCGTAATCTTCCTTGAGAAAAGGAGGCTAATAAGGCTTCTTGTTTGGTCAAGGAAGGTTTATGAAACATGAAATAAGAAACAAGGAATCCTCATTTCTCAAGGAAGGACTATGAATACGGATATTAAGCCATAAGCTATAAAAATTACCGTAAGAATTGACCAATTAGTCAAATGTGAGGAGAATAATTAATTATGACTCGTCCATTTCTTATGGCTTAAAGCTTAAGAACCTATTGTAGATCCGGGCTTAGCAGAAAAGTTGACTTATAATCTTAAGACAGTGCCTTATATCTTTGGTAGAATCCTATATTTATAAGAGAAGCGTGACCGACTTATGTCAGACTTATATCGCAAAAGTACTAAAAAGTATTAAAAGAAGAAGTACTAAAAATGGCATCGACCAAACAAAAAATTTGCAAGACGGACTATAAAATCCACCATCATCATTAAGTAGCCATTTTTAATACACAGAAATAAGTTCATCATTGGTTGCTAATCACGTGATTGCAATGACCAATCAGAACATTTAACACCAGTCGCGTTTCTCTTATAAATCTAGGACTCCAGTTTTTAGTAATATACAAGAACTGTGTTATAACTTATAGGTGCGTTTACTTTTTGCGCTCACACGCTTTAAGCACTGATAAGCATCGCTTACATCATTCATTTTCTCGTCATAAGAAAAAGACAAAAAAACATTTACGTTATCATAACGTCATAGATATTGCTCACAAGCGTTCGTCCATCGAGATAGGGCAGTAAAAACGTGAGCACTTATAGACGCTTATGGCCAAAAATAAACGCAATGAACGCGTGATATAACTTAAAAATAAAAATTGAAGTAAACTTGTCCATAAGGCAAATTTCAACCGGTTTAAATTTATCTTAGGAATAAGTTTACTGCTTTCAATGTCCGTTAGATTACGTAGATCTAAAACAATATCCTAATTGACTCATTGGCTTAAATTTACGTTTTATGATTACTGTTGAGCGTCGTCTATAATG